GATGATGATGATGATGATGATGATGATGATGATGATGATGATGATGATGATGATGATGATGATGATGATGATGATGATGATCATGTTCACAGTACAAGCTGAAATCCAAGTTCATGGCCTTCAAGAAATGCGCTTTTTACGATGAGTGTGAGCATAGAGAGGAGAAACCCGAGGGCGAGGAAGAAGGCATGTTTGGAATGATGGGAGGGCGCAGTGAGGGTGAGTGATTGTCTGTCTATGTGGACGAGGACAGTCTGTCTATATGTCTGTCTTTCTGTATGTCTGTCTGTCTCGCAGTCTGTTTTGCTGCCTGTCTGTCTGTATGTCCGCCTGTCTGTCTGTCTGTCCGTCTGTCTATCTGCCGGTCCGTCTGTCTGTCTATCTATTTGTATGCATATATTATGTCTGCATGTCTGTCTGCCTTTCTCCTTATCTCTCTCTACCTCTCTGTCTTTCTCTCCATCCTACCATCTTATTCTACATTTATTTCATCTTTCTATCTATCTATCTATCTATCTATCTATCTATCTATCTATCTATCTATCTATCTATCTATCTATCTATCTATCTATTATAGATAGATAGATACTTATATATCTATTCTATTTTTCAACTCCTCTCCCAACCATCTCCTCCAATTCATCATCCCAACTCAAAAGCACACATAAAACAAAAAAACAAAATAACAAAAGAAAAATGCGTCCTCTATGCATTTCTCTTCTTAACGGGTCCCTCTGCCCCCTTTCTTAGATTTTTTAAATGTAGTTTGTTTTTACACCGTTATCCACATAATTTAGACCATTTTGGAGGGCACAATATAAAATTAAGTTGAACAATAAAAAAAAAGAAAGACAAAGAAATACAGTTGAAATTGCTCAGGACAGCTGTCAATAATTGTCGAAGGGAAGAGCTGTGGTTGTCTTGACAGGTGGGCCTTTTGGACAGGGAATTGTTATGTGGTAAAAACGGAAAGGAGAAAGTGGGAGGCGGTCGTTTATACAGGTGAAATGTCTTGGACATGAGGCCGTTAGAGCAGGTTCGACTATAAATCGACAAGCAAGTTAATAGCAATCATTTTGAATCTTTGATTTATTTCAGATGAGGACGACAAGGGCATGGACAAACAAGGCAAACATTTCGAACTCTTCATGAAGATGAAGAAATTCGTGGAGAAGCTCTTTGCCGAGAAATACGGAGAGGACAAAGACAGTGAGGAAAGCTATGGGGAGGACAGCTATGGGAAGGACAGCGGGGAGGAAGAGGAGGAGGATGATGATGAGGAGGGAGGGGAAAAGAGTCCCCTGATGAAGTTCCTGTATAAGCTGAAGATGCACCTTGCTGAGCACGGAGAGAAAGGATTCTGGGATGAGGAAGGTGACAAGGAGGAGAAGGAGAAGAAGTTTGTCTTTTTCGCTTACAAGGTCAGTTACCCCAAGATAATAATAACATCATCATCATCATCATCATCGTCGTCGTCATCATCATCATCTGGATAAAAATAATAATAATAATGATAATAATAGTAATAATAATAATAATAATGCTGATAATAATGATAAAAATAA